AGGGATTTTCTAAAGGAGAAGTTCCTCCATTAGACAAGTTTCGACAACTCGTCGCCTTCAGGTCTACGGTTCTATCGCAGCGTCCAGCAGCCTCCAGCAGCCTTCCCCTGGAGAAAAGGGAAAAGGTGTTATAAGCTGAGAATCATGGTGGCTGCTGGAGGTTGGTGGAATCGCAGTCCTGAAGATGACGAACTTCCGAAACGTGAACCAATAAGGAAATTACCCCTTGAAAGAGTTTTACGGTACAGAAGAACTGACAGAACATGAACCTTTGACATGGTTATTGATATAGATACTACCAAGCATTGGAACGCTTTTTTTTTCGGAAACGTGAGAATTGCTTTGTCGCTAATGTATCAAATGCACAGTGGGAGGGTAAAGCTACCATTCAGTAGGGCAACGGTATGAGCAAAATGCAGAACGAACCATTCTCCTGGTTTTCCTCCTCCTACTAAAGTACGATTGGTTTCCTGATTCTGCTAGTATAGGCTTCACCTACTTTTCCTTGTCAACTCGAGTGACAAGAAGCGGACATTTTGCGGACAGACAGAGTGACACAGCAAGTGGTTGATATAATGGACGTGCAATTTATTTCACAATAAAGAGCCGTTAGCTGGGCTTTTTCGGGACTGACTAAGCACGTTTTCTTCGTTCACGTAGTGGGGGGAAAGGTAGTGTTCTCAAACAGCCTGCCATTATCGTTAAGATTCTTGTGATACAGCTTTTGACTCAGAAGACATTTAGCTATGATGGGATCGTATCTAAATCCCAACACGGAGGAGCTCATCAAGCGAAATATATGAAAAGAACTGGTAAAATTGGTAGTGGTTTTGTGCCCCGAAAAATACTGAAGAAAAAAAGCAAGGAAAAACGTTAACTTCCGATTTGTATTTACCCTCAGACGATGAATCTCACGTACGCTCGAACGGATATCCTGATGTTTAACTGGTCTACTTCTTTCCAACAGTCTAGACTGCATTATTGCTAATGCTCGTCCTCACTAAGTCGAAGGTTTCTTTTTATGTGACGGCTATCGTTTTGCACTTTTACCTCATCCACGTTTGATTTTCTTTTCCTGAGTTATATAATTTTCATGGTCCTCCTCTTTATTAGTCGTCCACCCTATTTCCATCTCCTAGTATTTTGGATCCATTCATCTAGTCATGTTTAAACCCTTTCTAAGCTGGCTTAACGCGAGATCGAGCATGTGTAGAGGAGCGTGTACGTGTGTGTGTGGGAGGTGTGAGTGATATCTCAATAACAGCTCATCCGATTTAGGATAATTCACTCGCAGCCAAGTGCTTACACAGCAAGCAGCTTTTGGCCATCGGCACATCTCCTTCCTCATCCGTCCACTACCATCGTCCTTCTCTTCTCGAAGCATCTGGGCAACGAGGAGACAGCCACAGCTACACACCGCAACGAGCAGCGCCTTCTTCGAATCCGGCCGTCCCCGTCGCCGCCGCTGTCAGTCGACCACGCCCATATCGCTTAGCCATGAGGGAAATAGTGATGTTGGGTACGAGCCCGCGAACGCAACGCTCCGCGTCAAGTGTTCAGGTATCATCTATCACTTATCACTTATCAACACTCTCATCACTCAACATTGAAAACGCTAAACAATCGTATTACACTGAAAGAAATTCTGATCGCAAGCTCATCTCATTGATTCCTAGCTGGGTTCCCTCATCACAACCATTTCCCATTCTTAAATTTCCTCTTTGTTCTGAAGGCCCATAGCTCTACGGGTGCTGTTCCGAGCTCCATTCCTTGATTATTGTCAAAAATATGTTTACCCAATGAAGCCTTAGTAATAAGATTATTCGCGCTAGATTGGACGTGGGATATTTTTGGTGGCTGGCGAAGCCACAACGTAGCACAGGGTCGTCATTATTAGGCTTTTCGCAAAACAGCAACAACTCTTGTCGAGAGGTTCCTATGGCCCTCAAATTCCCTTCTCCATTACTATACCCATACTCCCGGTGAACATGGTTGTTATTATCCAGAAAAAAAATCCCAGGCTTACTTCAGATGGGAAAATAGCCGCGCGCTGTGAATAACAATATCATACATAAGCTGGTCGGGCTTTACCTGCTTGGGCTTTGTTGGACGCTTATGATTGCCCAATTTTGCACCGGTTCAATGCACTTTCACACTTTACATCAATGTTGAGCCTGTTGATGCATTGCTGTCACAACAGAGCGTTTTCCAATAGATATGAACTAGTAGAATATTCCAGCTTCCCGCTGACTACACAACGCAAGCCTCAACGGTGCCCGTGTTCCATTATCGCGCTAAGGACTTCATTGTTGATCTCCGAAAACCTATCGAACCGTCGTCAAGTGAAGGACAACCTGAACGTGCTAACGTAAGTTGTAGACAACTCACATCTCCAACTAGGGTGAGCTTTTAGGTGCCAGTGGAACTTCGTGAAAAATTTCGAATTTCGTGAAAATCTAAGGAATAAAGGGGAACAGAACCGAGATATCCGACTTTCCGGGTCTCTTTCAGACCCCAATTTCCATGAAATAGGTGGATTAGATATTTCAGAGCGTCTCTTGTGAAGATCGAACATCTAAAGCAATGCAACATGCGTGAAACCTCTCATTGCTGCGTACGTAGATTAAATCTTCGTTAATGCAATATTTTTTCCCATTTCAGCTAAAAGAGCTTCTTCATTCACGATGGCAAGAGGCAAAAAATCGGAACGCCTTCAATTATGGCCTCAACTGCATGTACAAATTATTAGAAGGCCAGTACAATCTTTCGATGCAGGTCTGTAATCATCCAAAAGTACATTTCTTTTTACTTTTCTCGTACTTTTTCTCGAATCCTTTTTAATGAAAGTTTATTTATGAGAGGGAAAAGCGTAGACTTAGTAAGTGCTCCTATACCGGGAAAAATGTAAGGTCGGGGGCGTTTTTATTGCTCTACACGTCAATCTTGGACGTGACAAAATTACTATTGTCAGGTAATCGTTATCCTCGCGGCGTAGATCTAGACGCGAGTGTCCACTACCACTGGAATCAGTCGACAGGGTTACTTTGCAGGCCAACAAAACCAAGCGTTGATTCTTCTTCAGAAGAAAAATGCTTTCGAAATCCTTTCGACCCAATTTAAGGGCTATGTTGGTTCTCGAGCAAAATGAGCGCTAAATTTTGGGCTAAGTTCTTCAGACTAAAAATTCTGAATCCCAGTGGCCATTTCACACAGCAATTTTTGAGTCAGTGACATCATGTAAAAACTATAGGAGAAGAATACTTCCATCAAAATGCCTCTTGTACCAGATACAAATCATCAGAAACTGCCCTGCTGATCCCAAAAAACAGCGCACCAGCTGCAACTGAGTATTCCCAGGCGGGGGCGTTCTCTGTTTTTGGACGCGTAATCGATTCGGCTTCACCATTAGCGAGTTTCAACATCGAAAACTTTGGCGCAATTTTAAGTGGATTTGGAAGTTATTAGTTCGAATTAGTCAGTATACAATATTCATAATTTAGAAAAACTAAGTGAAATCCTAACAAATAGAGGGCGTTCCTATTTGAAGCAGAACATAAAGTGTAGCTTCGGTGAGTGGCACTTAGAAAATGATACGTTGAATAAATGTGTGGATGATGAGGATGTATTGCCGCGAAATTATACCGTATCCAACCGCTTATTTAAAAACTACTGAATGTCAGTGTTCGGAATTAAAACTCTTGTCTCAAAGGGCACACACACTTTATGACAGCCAACACAACACCGTTTGAGAGTGGCAGTAAAAACGAAGTTCAAACCTATTCCCTGTCTTTATGCCCATCCCATGGGATTGGTAGTAAGGACCGGTTGTATGTGGATGGGGTTAAAGTGGCCTCAGAATGGGGAGAAGTACATATATTATAGGAGGCGATTGGAACGTACCTAAGCCTGACTTCAAGCGCTACAGCCACTTCAAGCCGTCAGACAACCTTTCTTATTTGGCATATATCCTCAAACAAATGTCTATATCGCAGATAAGTCCCCCAGAAAAGACCCTGGAAATGGCCTCGACATAAAATAGAGGATGAAAATTGGAAACTCAGCTTATTTTCTAAGTTTTTGAACAAAGTTTACTTTCTGATTAAGTTATTACTCCAAAAAATTTAAGTTTTCACACTTAATTTCACAACTATTCTTTTCATTTCAATGTATCTTTTTTGTTTAAGCAAAAACCACCACCCAAATATTTTAGCTAAATGTCGAACGTGGCGAACTGCGACGAAAACCGATGCGATTCAAGCATATTAGGGAACCATTCAATCCTCTACGATGGAACTTCACTAAACTTCATGAGAACGAGGTCAGTCAGTTGGTTTGAGTTGGTCTGAATGAATGACTCGGCTCAATGGCCTCCGGCGGAGCTTCAAAGGATTAGCACTGAAGCCGGAAAACAGAAAATGTGCCATAAATCTATCCAGTATTATGTGGCCATTACGATAACTAGCAAGAAAATAAGCTATCAATTTAATGTGAACGATTTTCAGATGATGCTCTATTTACGATGTGAAGATCGTCCGATCACTTCTGATCCACTAGACAGACATGTGATAGCGGTGAATGCGAGTCCTTTGGAACGGGATCATAGTCTGATAATCCCATCAATCAATAAATGCCTGCCACAGGTAATCGATTATTTCGAATAGTTTTTTGAAACTCTTTTTCTTCGAGAGCTTTCTCATACTGATAAACATATCCGATTTCAACAGAAAGATGTTCGTTTCATTCGGCTCGCCCTTGCCCTCTTTCGATATTCAGATATTTTTATGCTTGAAATATATGACCAATTTGAATGCCGAATTAATCTTAGCGGAGGCGCTATTCAGAATAGCCGCCCCCGCCTGATTAATCGCTACCTATTGAGAAATGGATCTATATTTTCATAGATAGGTTTCCTCTGAAAAGACAAGACGCCTTAATTCATCCAAGCATTGTCAATGGCTCATCAGCCCCTGCTCGAATACTTATCTCGCATGAAGAGCAGGAACTCGTTAAGTAAGCAGTTCACCATGGCTTACTACATGTTAAAGTGGAAGTGATGTAGTGCGGAGTGGCGCCGTACCACGCTCGCGGTCTGGGGATCAAATCCTGGGTCGTGAGTCGCCCGGGCCAACCAAGCCTTCCATCCCTCCGGGGTCGGTTAATTGGTACCAGACTTGTCTGGGAGGATAAAAACACTGACTTGTAGGGCGG